TGCTCGGATCACAATCCTTGAAATCGGCGACGTAGTCCTCGGACACGACGACGATGCTTGATTCTCTTGGCCCCGCGATCATCCCGGGCGCCAGCGAGACGAGCGCGCAGAGCCTGAACGATTTGCCGAACACCGCGACGAGCACGGCGCAGCCGCGAAACACCTGGACGCCAGAGCAGAGCTCGTCGCCGGTGTCCAGCTTGCACAGCTCCAAGAGCCCGCTCTCGTCGAGGTCCGCGGCGACGATGGCGTTTCCGACGCCCGTCTTACTCGAGCCGCCGCCGCCGCAGTAGATGATGCGGTGGGAGGGCACCTCCAAAGTTGATGTCGACGCCTCACCGAGGCACGCGACGCCGAAGATGGGACCCGACACACCGTAGAAGCGGGCCATGGAAGAGTAACGTCTGCTCACCAAGCGACCTGAGGGCCAAACTTGGTGAAGCTGACTTCTCAAAGCGTGTTTGATCCTATGTGAAGTGATGTCAAAGGACAACGGACTCTGCGACAGACTAGAAGAAAATCGGGCTTCACGTGTTCGGGGCCTGCGGAGCGTGTGGGCGCTCAGGCGGTGCGCGCGCGCTTAGCGAGCATCAGCGCTCGATGTTGAGGACTGAGGCGGTCCGACGCGTTGTTGGGTCTCCCATCCACGAGCATTTCCCGCGCTGCCGAGATCCACGGCGTCGCAATCCACCGCGCGCACGTGTGTGCGACGTTTCCGACGTGGCAGTTGATGTCGTGGATCCGGCGCGCGGAGCAGGTTAAGACCAATACAAATGATTTGAATTTTTTAGTTAGTTTGCGGGACGCGGATGCCACAATAGCCGTGACCCAGGACTCCAGCCGTAAATTAGGCGCGCGCCTTACATTCAGCTACATATAGTACAGTACCATCCGGGGGTATTTTTTGGCGGCCGTGACGCCCTCATGTGGAGTCTATTGCCTTAGCTTGGGACTGAAGGGAAAGGCTTCTGCCACGTGCCCGGCGGGGCGGAGGCGGGCCAGGGGCGAGGCGGGGGCGAGCCGGGGACCTAAGGGCAGGCAGCCGGGAGGCTGCCCTTGAGTGTGAGGTCGACGGTGAGGTTCCAGTGTGGGAAACGACCATAGGGCTGGCGCGCGCCATAGGAATTATTAATTATTCATCGGCGGTCGCCCGACGGGAGGTCCTCAAAGAGGTCCTCCGTCCACTGCGCGCGCGGGGGTTAACGAGATAGTAAACTCCGACACGGGGAGGCAGCCTAGTGGGGCTGCCCTGCCGTGTGAGGGTGAACTATCGAGGTTACGCAGTGGCGGTACACCGGCGTCTCTGTTATCCTCACGTCACCTCAGCTGCCGTAGTGTACGGGGGCTGGGGCTACTGGACGAACGGGCAGAGGATCTGCCTCACTAGGTCCAGGAAGACTCTCCGTCTATTACAGTGCGGGAAGCAGCTATAACAGGGTTAGAAAGTATTAAGGAGGGGAAGGAAATTGGGTGGCTCTGTACCAGCGAGCCACTAGGGAGATACAAAACTCTCTATCTCTCTACTCCCCCTGGATCGTAAGCCAATAATGAAGATCCATGTAGAGCATTTTTGTTCCAGAGCC